GCTTGAGGCCTCTTGGCTGAAGCATGAACTCACCCTCTCCTCCTCTATTCTCCCCTTCTCCCCCCGCCCCCCTTTCTTCTTCCAGGAACTTAAACTAGATGCAACAAATGAAGCACATGTCATTAGAGGATCCACTAAAATAGGGGATGAATTACTGATAACATTTCAATTGTGACCCTTGGATCAAATGTCCTCCAGTGTACAATGAGGCTAAACCTGAGTGATCTCTTCTAGAGTCACTTGCATGCTGCATATTGATTAAGATAATTGAAGTCATATAAAATGCTCCTGAATAGAAGCCCTTTGCACATAACTGAGATATTTTGTGCAAAAGCTTTGGTTTGTTATTGGGTCTTTACAAATTGAGGGGAAAGGGGTGAACAGTCAAAGGCTTCCTAGCAGCTGATATAGCAGTCTGTCATGTAAGTGAAGTTTACCTAAGGGTGACATTTCACCCTCTTATCTTTCTGTTAGCCTGCAGCCTGTAAGCTGCTATCCTGATTTGGTATAGCTGCATTTCTTCACTGAGAGTGACCAGAGGGTTTCCCAGGGACGGGAGGACTGAAATTCCTGTGTACTTCAATTGGGATTTTGAATGCTTAACATGTTCCCCCATCCTATTTACACAGAACAAAGAAGAGTAGAGGTGTGAGGAAGGATATTTGGCTGTGTCATGGTTTTTAAAACTGTAAGTGAAAGAGGAATGTTTCCCATAAAATAATTGAACTATCAATGGAAAAAGTTGATTTTGTTACCTAATGTGAAATTTCTGATGGGCTTAGTTATTATTTTCATGTGCATATCTTCTTTGCTAGTGCCCCAGTCCACCACAAAACACTTTGGATTATATTCTGGAGTCCAAGTGACAACACTTCTGTTTCCCTGTGATATGACTCTGACTTGTCCAGGCAAAACTGGAAAAACAAAATATTATGTCTTATTAATATTTCTGAAAGTTTTTGTCCAGAAAGATATCTGAAACGGTAAGAGCTAGAAACACCAAATTTTGCATGGACACTATTGATTTCCTAACTTAAATCACCTCAATTGGGCCCACAGATAATTAACTTTTAGTAGTGCCTGATCATAGGCATTTCCTGGACTCTTCTGTTAAGCGTGTCACAAACTGCAACTATGAGATCCTAGAGGATAAAGCATGTGGGAACCTGCAGCACCATCAAGGGAAAGCTCATGGGGGAGAGGCTGCAGTGGGGCAGAGAATCAGCAGCCTCCCCTATACTAGGGCACCAGCAGGTCTCCGGGACAGACCCAAATGTGACTCATGCTGGCTAGGGTCTAGCCTTGCTAATTGTGGCTGGGAAAAGCCTCCAGCTATCACAGCTTCTCAACATCTTCACACAGCCAGGCTCCAGCTGAACCCTTTCTTGAAATTACAGTTGCTTTCCTCCCCCTACACCCAAATGAGCCATCCCATCACTTGCCCTTCTTTGGGCTGTGTGCGTTCTCCTGGCAGAGAGGTGTGCATTATCAGCAAGTGCCACGGGCATTATGCACTTTGCAGGATTCAGCTCACAGTACAATGAGGAGGTGGGTAAGAGGACAAGGTTTTGAGCACCGTGGAGCCTAAGGAGGACATGGTACACTCGGAACAGCCTAGTCTCATTAGAACAGGTACGTTCAGGTGCTGCATGTGCTGATCATCTAGCTATCATTCATTGCACCTGGTCTGAACATCTTTCGTTTTGTCTGATCAATGCAATCGGTCCAGCTGCCGCTAGGAAGTCCATTCATGTTGCCCCATGGAGCATGCGCTGAAGGCACTCGGGGAGCGGCTACTTGGGAAGCAGTGATTTGCTGCTGCAGCAGAGCCCAGGAGGCATCCCCTCCATTTCTCAGGGCTTCTGGCCAGGAGGCTGCAGGCATTGGTTTGCATAAGTCTTTAAGGGAAGATAGTCCTTCCTGATTTGTGGGGATTGAGAAAAGAAACCCTATGGGATTTGTCGTTTTGTAAGCACATCGCTAGCTATGTTAATTTCTTAAAGTAATATATCAGAGAAGTATTTCCAATAAAATACAGACCGTGATCTGCCTGGACAATGAGACAGGATGTTATGGTCAGTACCTGGACAGGAAGAGACTCTTCAATGGATTGGACAATTTCAATATGGGTGCCAAGAGGCCAGATTGAAAGAGTTCACAATCATCATGATACGAGATAATATATAATTTATAAAGCACTTTAGAAACACTTATCTTTACAATACCCTTGTGATATAGAAGCTGATTCATGGGGGGAAACAATTATTTTAATTATGAATGGAGATATACAAGCAGATGTCTAGCAAAGCGTGAAAACTGTACAATGGCAGTTGTATTACCTGGATTTCTTAGACGGTTTCTAAATTTTGGAAGCCCCCCCCCCCAATACTCTTACTTTTGTTCTTATCATCCTATTAGTCTCATGTTGGAAATTACGCCCACATGCAACTTGCCAGAAAAAGACATAAGATAGAATTCATGGAGTAGCAGTAGAGCATGATGACCTTTAATCTACTATATATTTTAGAACTTTTGTCTGTCTGATTATGAACTCTTCAATGTTAAGAGCTGGGACCACCAAATTTGGTACACAGTTTCCTCTAATCATAACCTAAGCAGGGTTTCCCAACCTATGGGTCAAGACCCAAATATGGGTTGCCATTACATTTCAAAAGGAGTGTCTCCCCAGGTGGCTCTGCCTCCCCTCTTCTCTCCCATTTTTGAATTGCCTTGGATCACGCAGTCTTCCTGAATTGTCAAAATGGGTCCTCATCTGCAAAAGGTTGGAAACCGCTGACTTAAAGCAATAGAAGTGTTTGGTTGTGACAGGAAAACAGGATGTGCCTGGAATGGGATTATTTCTCATAAAACCAAACTGGAGAGACAATCACCAAAGCAAGTACAGTCCTCATAAGTTGAGCAAAAGTTAAAAGAGAATGAATCAGATAAGCCAGAAAAATAGGATGAACATGGAATAGGATTGCTTCTTAATAAACCTTAAAAGAGAGATAAAATGGAGAAAATTTGGAATAGTGCTCTGGTACACTAAATCAATGCTTATGGCTTGAAAACTAGAAGAAAATGCTATTGGAAACCAAATTTACTATAGCCCTTCTGTTAAAACATAGCAAATGATAAGCATTTATATGCATGAAAGAAAAAAATACACTTGATAGAATTCCCATTTTTAAAAAAGTACTAACAAGTTAATGGAAATAATCCTTTTTTAAAAAAGAAATCCAAAATAAACTTAAAAATAACACTGTATTTTTGAAAAAAAAGTAATTTAAATAAAGCATGTACATTTTCCTTTAAAGAAACTTGAAAGTTACATACTTGAGCAACACTGAGTAAATCTGCTAGTTGTAAATATGTATCAAGCATGTCACTACAGCTCTAATCACCTCATTCTACAACAAATGTTTGTAATGACAATAAAATTAGTCTGTACTAGTTAGTTAACCCAATGTAGCTATTCTCTCAGGTTTCCAGGTTATTTTCACATTTCTTGATTTGGATCAGCTCATACAGAATTCAGTCTGAAAACCTTGTACAAGCCACTAATTTAATATGAATAACTTTACAGACTCGTGTTTCAGAACTCGCATCACATGGTACTATGTATCAGTGTTGTCTTCAAGTCGTCATTGTCAGGTCCAAGTTGAGTCTCAAGTCACTACAGTTCAAGTCTCAAGTCCCTAAAGTCACTTCCGAGTCAAGTCCCAAGTCGAGACTCAAGTCTTAAGTTAAAAAAATGTCAAGTCACTTTTGTACAAGCCATCAATATTGGCATTTTTGGACAATTTTTTCACCAAGTCGATTTAATAAAATTAGCAAGTCTCAAGTCACAAACAATGAACCCGAATCGAGTCTAAGTTGAGTCACCTAGGCGACTTAAGTTGGACTCAAGTTCAAGTCGTGGGACTCGAGTCAACAACTTGAGTTCCACCCTCTCTGGGGCACCTGGTGCTGGCCACTGTTGGCAGACAGGATACGGGGCTAGATGGACCTTTGGTCTGACCCAGTACGGCTGTTCTTATGTTCTGCTATGTATTGTACTAGATTAATCTGCACAGGTTTAGCGAAAACGATAAAGAGGAACAATAAAATCCTTTTGATCCCTAAACTGATGCTATTACAAGGAAACACTGCCCGCAGAAGAGAAAAGGTGCAGAAACTTCATACTTTTGGAATAAATAATGTACCTTTTGCAGTGAAATCTGGAACAACATAAGTGATCTGTGGAGATTCTCCTGCTTCATTATAGGCAGAAATATTCAACATATAATAAGCCATAGAGAGGTTCAGGTGCACTTTTCTCTCAGTTACGTTGATGCGTTTTAGTCGAGCATAGCAACTGTTGGGTATTCTTTCAATATTAACATAGTATCCGATGATATTCCTGCTTTGATTTATCTAATAAAAAAAGATGATCAGTGAACAATCAGTTATCAATCCCTTTAATAAAATTAGCATGTTCACAAAACATGGGGGAGGGATAGCTCAGTGGTTTGAGCATTGGCCTGCTAAACCCATGGTTGTGAGTTCAATCCTTGCAGAGGCCATTTAGGGATTTGGGGCACAAATTTGTCAGGGATAGTACTTGGTCCTGCTGTGAAGGCAGGGGACTGGACTTGATGACCTTTCAAGGTCCTTTCCAGTTCTAGGAGATAGCCAATCTCCATTAATTTTTTTTTTTAATTGCAAGCCACTAAACACATGCAATTATGTATAAACAAATCTTGCGTGTCTTGGCACAATGACTGTCAAAAGGAGATACATTTAGTGCTTTTATACGGGTGGGATTTAGGAAATAATTCAACAAAGCTCTTAAGCCTTTGCTTTAAAATTATATAGCCTCTAATCATGTGGTTAAATGCTTTCCTTAATTTGGGTCTTACCTGTGCAAATCCAGTGAACACTAATGAGGATAAAGCAGCTAAAATACTGCACTCAGAATGTGCCTCTAATTATTAGAAGCCTGAGAGCCCATTAGAGTTAGGCTTAATGCCTCTGAAAATCTTAATCTCCTAGATTTTATAGGGCATGTTAAACTGCTACAGCAGAAAGGTGTCATTACCTACTGATATGAAGTTTGTCTAGTATGGTAATACTAAGCAGAGTAATCCACAGACAAACAAGGTAAGAACTGACCAAAGCAAATACATCTTGCGTATCTTAATAGCAGTACTTGACACTATAGTCTCGTGTCACAAATGGGGCTCTGCTGTAAATTGCTGTGACAGGAGAATCTACCTTTTTTAAAAAAAATTTAAAGAAGTTTTTTCAATACACTTAGCATTTCATGATTATAAGACTCAGAAGTGCATTCCACTCGTACCCTCTTGTGTATATTTAAAGTTATTAGACTCCAAGTCAGAAAAGCAGTTAAGTGCATGCTTAAATGCATCCCTATAAATTTGAATGGTACTAAAATACATAAAAGGCCTTCACTTTTTATAGAAGATGGAGTTAGATGAAGCAATAACATAACAACCTCTCAGTCTAAACATGATTTCTTCCTTCAGTTTGATATGGGAATTGGTATGTACAATTTACATAAAATGTTATGGTTATTTCTAATTTAGATTCATTACCTGTTGGTAAGAGGGATAAACATTCTTAGGCAGTTAAGTAGATTATTTCAAAAAATGTCTCCCCCTGATAAATTACTGCATATACAGATTTGTTGACTTTTAGTTGAACTCTTAGTTTCCCTTGTGACAATCCCCTTCTCAAACACTGAGGAAAGATTGTTTAACCAAGAATACCGAACACCTCCCCCCCCCAAAAAAAAAACACTGAGAAAAAATTCTGGGGGTGAGGGGGAAGGGGGAAGAGGGGAAGAGACCAAAGTTGTTGAGCAAAAAAAAAAAAAAAAAAGGACCCCAAGAGTTAAGCAAATAAATAAATAAATTAAATAAAATAGAACAGCATTAAAACAGCATAGCTCCTTTAATTGAGTGCAGAGTCAGGATAGGGATAGGAAGAGAAGCGGTTGAGCACTAAGACGCAGGGAAGGCATTGCTTCCCATTGCTCAGGTCTTTAGGTTTTTTGCTGGTGGCCATCTTGTTTCCTTGGTCGAGCCACAAGGGAGCTTCGCTGCAGAACCAGGTAAGCGGGGGCTGGGCCCAGTTGCCGAGTGTGTTGTAGGGTTGCCAGGTGTCCAGTATTTTCACCTCCTAGCAGGGAAAAAAACAGAAAATACTGGACATTTTAGGTGTCGGTATTTTCTGAATTTTTTTTACTGGACAGGAGGCAAAAATACTGGACTGTCTGGGTCAATACCAGACACCTGGTGACCCTATTAGTAGCATTAGGGTGAATATGCAGTATTTTGCATGGTGAACAGCGGACTCTTGTTGTAAGCAAGAGCCTTGTAACCTATTTTGTATCTAGAAGTTTGAACAGAAACTTGGAAGTTGCTTTCAGAATTTCTAGATCGGGGCTTTTGCAAAAGTTTCAGTCCCACTTAAGAATAAAACTTCTTATGAGTGTGTGAAACAAAGATTCTTTAATCTTAAGGTCCATGGTGTGTCTGCCTAAGGAAAACTTTCAAGATTAAGTGTGTAGGTGATTGTGAGGGAGCACTTGAGAATCCAACTCCTAGGCCAATGTCTAGACAGGTTTAGATATTGCTACATCCATCTTTTTGTACCATTACAAAGGGGTTTAATCACTCTCTTCTCTATGGCTATGTCTACGCTGCAGGCTTTTGCTGGCAGAGAGTATGCTAATGAAGTGCTCAGTAGCATTTGTCACACTGTATTTGCATATTCTCTGCTGATGCTTTTAGCTCAAGGTTTTTGCGCAAAAACAAGCAGTGTAGATGGGTCCATTTTGCGGAAAAAAAAAACCCTTTTGTGCAAGATCCTTATACCTCAAAAAAGGAGGTATATGGGATCTTGCGCAAAAGGGGTTTTTTTGCGCAAAACGGACCGGTCTATACTGCTTGGTTTTGCACAAAAACCTCTTGCACAAAAAGCATCAGCAGAGACTATGCAAATGACAGTGTGACAAATGCTACTGAGCACTTCATTAGCATACTCTCTGCTGGCAAAAGCCTGCAGTGTAAGCAAAACCATAGCTCCGCAGTGTAGACATACTCTATTTTGGGATACTTCCAGTATCCCAAAATAGCTATTCCACATCTATCGAAGCAGCCCGTTATTTCAAAATAGATTTCAAAATAACTGGAGGCTTCTTCTGATGTCCCGGTAACCTGTGTTCCATGAGGGATAAGGGGCATTTCAAAATAATGAGATATTTTGAAATTTGGTACTGTGTATTCAGCATCAAATTATGAAATAAGCTATTTCGAAATACACTCAAAATAAGCTACGCAATTTGTGCTATGCAAATTGTGTAACTTATTTTGAGCGAAGGATGCTGTGTAGACACACCCTAACACATGACTATACACATTTATATACAGGCAGTCCCCGAGTTACGCGGATCCGACTTATGTCGGATCCGCAGTTACGAACAGGGTTTTTCTCACCCTGGAGGACGGGAGCAGCAGGACACCCAGATGCGCCATAGTCCGCCGCCCCCGTCCTCCGGGGCGAGAAAAGCTGCTCCCCGTCTCCCTGGTCTGCAGGGAGACGGGGAGCAAAGCCTTGGAGCACGCCCGCAGCGGGACAGCCCGGGCATGCTCCCAGGCTTTGCTCCCCGTCTCCCTGCAGACCAGGGAGATGGAGAGCAAAGCCGCAGAGCACGCCCGCAGCGGGACAGCCCGGGCGCGCTTGAGCTGTCCCCCTGGGCTGGTCGGGGGGGGGCTGGGTGAGCGTGGG